GCTGATTTATTTTTATTTTAAAGCTCCATCTTCAAATTCTGAAACCTTTGTCACCCATATTACCTCATGCAGGTCCTTTAAAAAAGATGAGAGAAAATGTGGTCAGAGAACCAACCTGTAAGTCTACATTGCATTCCTTCGATATAATAATTAAATTTGAAATTAACAGTGTTTGGCATGCACAGAAAGCCCTTTACAGAATGATCCAAATTTAACATTTATTTTTATCAGTGTCTATGAGAGAGAGAGAGAGAGAGAGAGAGAGAGAGAGAGAGAGAGAGAGACTATGTGAGTGCATGGCATGTGTGTAGGGTTGTCCAAGAGTCCAGAAGAGTCCGTCATGTCTCCTGGAGCTGGAGGTACATACTGCTGTGAACCACCTCATGTGGGTGCTCAGTAGGGACACTAAAATGCACTGTAGTTGTCTTGCCCTGGTCACACCATAAAGATGTGGCATGGCTAAGATTTCTATTCCATTAGATGACAAAGCTTAATTTCACCCACTGCACTATGGAGGCTCCAGGTGTGAGCTCAGTATGGACGCTGTGGTGGTGGCCGGCCAAGAGAGGTTGATGAGTCATAGGCCCTATGGGACCTTAAGAGAAGATGGGAGGAGACAGATGGGTGAAAGAAGGATGCTCAGTGTTCTAATGTTCTAAGACCCGTTGGTAAACCTGTGAAGTCACCAAGGGCAGCTTTGAAAATGAGAGGAGAAGATGCACATTACAGGAAGAGAGAAGAGTCTATGTTAAAACACAGGGGCATCGACAGGCGCTCTGCACAGAAAGGAGGTGAGGGCGGGGTGCACAAGAAAGAGAATGAGGGGGTGAACTTGGAAAAGTCATGGACAACATAGAAGAGCTCAGTACAGTGCTATGCAGGGTAGGCTTTAGACACAGGCCATAAGGAAGAGGTTTGTAACAGTGTTTGGGAGGCCTGGGGAGAAGTGCTTTTGCTAAACACAGCGGAATGAATTCTCACTGGCCATGCTCTGCTGGCCACGTGATCTGGAGTGTTTCCCGCACACTTACAGTGGATTTGAGAGAGTCCTCAGCATCTGAGCCAAAGAGAAAGTTTACACAAATCAGGAGGGAATCAGAAACCAGAGAACTGCCAGGAAGAGGCAGCATATTTCGGGAGGGCTTCTGCTGAGCCAGGCACGCAGATTCATAGAGCCATAGACAGAGGGTCTTACAGTACAAATGGGCAGGCTACAGGAAAAGCTTCAAAAAGCCAGCAGCTGGAGGGGTGTGTGTGTGTGTGCGCGTGCGTGCGTGCGTGCGTGTGTGTGTGTGTGTGTGTGTGTGTGTGTGTGTGTGTGTGTGTG